TTGAACCGCGGTCCCTGTGCTTTGTTTAGCTTAGCTTATTCTAAGTAGGTGCTTTAGACCACTGAGCCATCTCACCAGCCCTCATGCACCTATAATATTTAAATGACAATTGAATATCCTTCTCTGACAAAACTAAACAAAAAAAGGGGATACAAATGAATGACCATTTTTTATCTGTATATTCAAAATAAGATAGATACACAGCTACATTCTCTTAATTCAATAAATAGAAAAATTTGTTCTAATAGTGTTTATAAACAGGATATGTCTGTATCTTGTACAACGAATAACCACTAAGACAACAATATGCAATGTATTAATTATTGAAACTGTCCTAATCAGATTTGGAATTGTCTCATTGTTATTTGTTTCACAATAAAACTATATATAAAAAAAAAACAACCCCCCCAAGAAACCCCCCAAAAACATACCATCAAAAATGAAATACTACAGTACTGTGAGAAAGGAGATCAAAGAAGATATCAGAAAATCGAAAGATGTCCACTATTCTTGGATAAGTACATTCAACATACTCAAAATCACCAGTCTTCTAAAATTTTATTCAGGAGACTCAATAGCAAAAACAACTCTGGGCAGCAGGGGCAAGGCAGAGAATATCACAGTACTTCATTGAAATTCTTGTACAAAGCTTTGGTGATATAAAATATAGTATTTGCACATCTCTCCCAAAAGAATTGAAGATGAATGACATACAATAGAATATGAGGAAACAACTCCTTGCATACTTACTTTATCTTAGACAAAGGAACCAAACACCATCACTGGACAATAACATTTTAAATAAGTGTTCCTGGGAAATCTTGCTTTCCACATTGCCAAAGATTGAACCTAGACCTATGTCTCTCACCTTGCATTAAACTAATATCAAAAAAGAACAAAGATCTAAATAATAAAAAAGAAACACTAAATCTGCTGGAAGACAGTAAGTAATACTCTTGGGCACACTAGTGTGGCAAACTACCAATTGTACAAGAAATATTACAATGAATCAACAAATGCGATTATGCCAAATTAAAAAGCCTTTCTATAGCAAAAGAAACCACCAGGAGAGTGAAGAGACAACCCATAGAATAGGAAAAAAATTTGAAAGCTAGTCAGACAGGATTAATATCTAGAATATGTAAATAATGTTTAAAATATTAGACCCTCTACATTTAAAAATACAACCAAAATGGACATGTGAAATAAAGGTGCTTTCCAGATGAAGAAGTATAATTTATAGTAAATAAATGTATGAAAAATATTCTTTTTTTTGCCATAGTTTTATTGATAAACAAATAGCAATGAGACAGTTTCAAATCAAATCAGTAGGACAGTTTCAATAATTAACACACTGCATACATTCTTGTTGGTGGTTAATTGCTGTACAAGATGCAGACTTGATATCCTATTTACAAACACCATTAGAACAAATCATTCTATTCATTAACAGAATGTAACTGTGT